CAAACATATCCCTATCGGATCTAAAACAGTCGTGTCCTTTTGCTTCTTCAGATGGAGAAGTTAAAATGAAAAAGAAAGCGTTCTTCTGAACAAAAGTGAGTGCATGTCCTCTCTCGTGCGAGGGAATAAAGTATTCCTTACCTCCTTCATATGCTTCTCACGACCACCGTCGATAGTGGGTGGCAAAGAAAAGAAGATTTCAGGTCAGGCCCTACGCACACTCAGAGGCCTTCCTTCTCCAACCCCAATTCTTGATGATCTCTCTGGTACTGTAGGACTCAGAAGAAGAAAAGTTGGGGCGAAAAGAAACACTAGACAAACAAAAAAGGACGTCTCAATAGCTCTGTGCACATAATTGTTAAGGAAGAAAAAAAATGGCACCAACCCACCGCCATTTATTACCCTTCTTTTCTTTTCAGGGGTCTCCCAACCGCACTCCCTCGACGACGATGCATCGCGCTGCGATGAACTTCTCCACGAATACGAGGAAGATTCACGGGAGAGAGCCTCAAACGTCCGCGTTCACCGAAGTCCCTCACGAGACCTTGATTAGCACAACCTCCCGCTGTACATGATCTGACCCAAACTGGAAACTGGGATCATCCCAAAGCGGGCGAGGACGGTTCAAAGGAAGAGCCTTCGTCAACGTCCACGTTCACTGAACCGCTCCGCAGTACCTTTAATTAGGACAACCTCGCTGTGCAAAGATCAACCCAAATGGGAAAACACTCTTTCCTCGATTTCTTCCCTCTTCTGCTTGGTTGCCGAGAAAGATTTGGCCTTCGACATCCTCTCGGCAACCGGCTTGAGCAGACGGGAAAAGCGAAAGAAAAGAAGAACAAGAAAACAAAGGGGGGGAGATAATATCTAAACAGAAGAAAATCACCCCCAAAAAGAAAATTTCGTGGGAAAAGAAGAAAAGAAACAGGAATTGAAGGGCTTTTTTTATATATCAGGAGGAAATATTTGGTTTAATATGTCGATACTTGCGATAAATTTATTTCGAATTAATTTTTACGATCACAAAATATCTCAAATTTGTATATTACTTGCGATAAATTTACCCTTCATTAGTATCCGTTAAATTTTACTGTCAAATTACAGAGTTAAACGACAAGTAATATATAAGTCTGGGGTTTTACCGTCCGGTTGTCACGTGTACACGAGTTTGTAGATTTTTTTTATATTAATTCAATTTAACGGAGGTTAAATTTATTATAAGTATAATAATTTGGAGTAAATTTAACATAAATATATCAATTTAAATTTTTTAATGATCAAAAAATTAATTTAGGATAAATTTATTATACATATATACGAGGTCGAGAATTTTCGTCGTGTTAACCAAAAATAATTTTTGCCAAGGTTGGTCGCCGTCCGTTTCAGAGACGCGTGTCGTTTTTCTTCGCTCCTTCCGAGGATTCTGACTAAAGAAGGGCGGTATTTCACACGGGATTGCCACCCCCCACGTGGCGGCGAAAAGTCGGATGCGTGGACTTTGACTGCGCTTCAGTGGGCCCCCCACCCCCCGGCATCTTTCCTTCCCCGGCAGTTCTGACCAGTTCTGTCGTCGTCGAGGTGGCGCTGTTTTTCCGCTCCCCCGCGCGTGGGGGCCCGCACGTGCGGCGTGCGTTCCGCGGCCGGGGGGGTTGTTGGGACTTTGGATCCGGACGCGATGACGGCTCGGTTCGGTTGCCCCGATCGGGTCGCAAGGGCTGCACGTGATTTTTCCATAAATTTTTTTTAAAATCAAACGAAGATTTTCAACTTTGACGAACAATAGTGGATAAAATTACTGTTCACTTTTCCCAAACTGTAAAACAACCGAACCGAACGCTCGGTTATTCGTGCATTTACATTTCCTTATCGGTTTTATTCCGTTAAAATGTATCCATGTTCTCTTGGTGATGATGCCGTCGAAAATCGCTGATGCCGTCGAGGATGAGTGTGGACCGGCTACGCACTTGGTTGATGCTGCGGCGAATAGTCTCCCATCAAAGTGGATATGATTTGAATCGAGCATTTTGTCGCGTGCAAGAGCTCTCGTGGTCATTTTTTTTTAGGCGGGGGCAAAAAGATACTTTTTTTTTGTCGAGACATGAATTTTCTATTAAATTTGAACCTCGAATGGATAAATAATTGACCTCATATGATGTACGGAATTTCTTTTGATACTGGCAATTCATCGTCTTAATATCCTAAATAATATATCGGAAATGAAAAATCCCGTAGATGTCACATTTTCATAATTCTGTTAATGCTTGGAAGAAATAAAAAGCGCGTGCAAAAGTGAAAGCTCTGGTCGCCGCACTTTTAGACCATGTACATTGAGCCGTGCAAGAATGACGTATACTTTTAGTACCAAATGTATGTTATTCTCCATTACAAGAATTAAAGATAATTCGAAATATGCGAACATTAACATTTAGTGCCGCAGCAAATTGAGATACTATTTTATCGTGATGGGAATTTCGTTGGCCAAAGTTTAACGCAATTCAACGGTGGCTCCTTGTGACCATTCAAATGCATAATTACTAGCGCGATCAAATCTTGTGACCTATTTGTATCGGAACGTGGTCGGTTCTCTCATCGATCTAGCTTTCCGATAAATACAGGTCAAACACTCCCTGTATTACCGTCGGTCGAGACATGTAATGAATTAAAAAAAACCATGTTGATACATAGTATTGAAGCCGAAATCGTAGAATATGTAAGATGATGGTCAAACTCCAATTATTCAACCTCACATTGTAAGATACTTCAGTGTGGAAAAAATGAGCAAACGTTAGTCCAATTACAACCTACTTCACCGCAATTTCAATCCTTCTATTATTTTTTATTTGGACATACGTCACATTCGTGTAGCAGATTCTCTTGCTTGCAGTCTAATTCAAATGATTACGCATGGTCAAATTCATGGAAACTTGAATGAGACGGGCTAATTATTTTAGAAGTTCCACATTTTAAAACTTTTAGAAAACTCTACCATTGCAGCACACGCCAAATATACACGTCGATCGATTGTCAAAGTCACACGTCATCACGAGCTTCTGCTTAAGCGCAAGCCAATCTCCTCGGCGTGGACTTACACAAAAAACAAGAGTCAACTGTTACCTCGCAATGTCTTTTTGCAAGGGGGGTGATTAGAGGTGGAAAAACCGAATGGATTGGGTTAAGGTCAATTTTGATTTCAGGTAGAGCAAGAAGGGGAGAGGGGTTGGGGACGACCGTCCGGCCATTAGGTTTACGATCAGGTTTAATGTTCATGTCTTGTCGTGGACACAGGCGGGTTTTTAGTTAGGGATAATTGCACAAATGATTTTCGAATTTTGACCTAATGCTCAATATCGTCCTTAAACGACTGTTTGATCATTAGATTTACGTTCAGGTCTAATCTTCATGTCCTCTTGTTGATAGGGGTGGGTTTTTAGTAAGGGATAATTTCACAAATGGTCCATGAACTTTGATGCAATGTGCAATATCATTCTTGACCTTTTAATTTGTTCAACGTGATACTTGAACTTTAGCCCAACGTGTGATGTCATCCCTGAAATTATTCAATGTGGTTCCCGAATTTTTTGTACATGTTCAATCTAGTTCTTGTACTATATGTAAATATCCAATGTTCATACACTACATTAAGCATTTGCATATAATCAATTTCATATAGTCTAGAGACTAAATTGAACATGTACTAAAAGTTCAGGGATATATAACATCAAACAGATTAAAAGTTTAAGGACGATATCGCATATTAGGTTAAAGTTCATAGATCATATCGAACAAATTAAAAGTCTTGGAATGATATTGCGCGTTTGATCAAAATTCAGGGATAATTTATGCCATTTTCCTTTGGGTTAGGACCACCAAAAACCCCAAATTGGTACACGTGTGACAATTTTACCCTGAACTTTTTTTTTGACCACCAAAAATCCCAAACTGGTACACATGTGACAATTTTACCCTGAACATACCCCAAAAAACCCAAAACTGGTACACTTGTGATAATTTTATCCTGAACTAAAATTTTAATATTATTTTTTTATTTTTTTGAATTTTTATTAATTATTTTGTTTTTTCTTCATCTTCAACCTTTGGCCGGTCGCCGGACCGGCGACTGGCCAGAGGAGGAAACCGGCGAGGTCGGCCCCGCGGGCTGCTGGCGAGGGCAGCCCTTGCCGGCGTCGGGCGAGGGCGACCCTCGCCTGAGTCGGGAGAGGGTTGCTGTCGCCGGATCTGGCGAGGGCAACCCTCGACTGCGTCGGGCGAGGGATGCCCTCGCCGGCGTCGGGCGAGGCCAGCCCTCGCCTGGGCGGGCGAGGGCAACCCTCACCTGAGTCGGGCGAGGATAGCCCTCGCCCTACTCAGGCGAGGGTCGCCCTTGCTGGGGGGCGAGGACGACCCTCGCCCGACCCGGCGAGGGCCGCCCTCGCCGGATCCGCGAGGTCGGCCCTCGCACGAGTCGGGCGAGGGCCGCCTCGCCGTGCCTAAGAAGGTCGAGCCTTGCTAGCGGCCGACGGGGCCGACCTCGCCGGCTTCCGCCTCTGGCCGGTCGCCGGTCCGGCGACCGGCCAGAGGTTGAAGATGAAGAAAAAAAAAAGAAAAGAAAAGAAAAGAAAAAATAAAAAAATTCGAAAAAATAAAAAATAATATTAAAAAATTATTAGTTCGGGATAAAATTGTCACAGCTGTACCAGTTTGAGGTTTTTTGTGGTTAAAAAAATAGTTTAGGGTAAATTTGTTACGGGTTTACCAGTTTAGAGTAAAATTGTCACAGGTGTACTAATTTGGGGTTTTTGGTGGTAAAAAAAAAAGTTCAGAGTAAAATTATCACACATGTACCAGTTTAGGATTTTTTGTGGTATTAACCCTTTTCCTTTTAGTAGTCCAGCCCAAGCCCCAAACGGTCGGTCCACTGGGCCTTGAATTATATCTTTAATTTGTTTAAAGTCTGCCTACTGTCCCAAGATTAGCCCTGCAACTCGAGTTTCGTCAGAGAGAGAGAGAGAGAGAGAGAGAGGACAGATGGGTGCAGAAGGCGAAGAAGAGAAGACGGAGACGAAGCCGAACCCCATTTCCGAGGCCCAGTTCCTGTCTTGGAAGCGTCGAAAGGTTGGTTTCTCACTGTACATTCTCCTCTCTTATTCATCATGGATCCGCTCGTTCCATCTCTCTTATTGTCGACCAATCCTGCCGAAGCTGATCGAGAACGTTCTCAGTGCATTCAATTTCACCCCTAAATTTACATCGAAATTAACGAAGGTGGCTCTTTTTCTTGACGTTGTTGAATGCCGATATCGTATGAAGTTGTTATCTTTGCTGGTTTGATGGGTTTCTGGAGTAATTTTGATATGGGTTGTGGCAATTTTCGTCCAAGTTCAAATTTTCATTAGCTAATGTCAAAATTATATGCAACTGCAGAAAAAAATAGGTTTCGTTGATGAGTTCTTATGACGGAACTGCAATTAGGTTTAGGATGCTCAGAGGTATTGGAAAACATGTTTGATTCATTGTATTTGGAAGCTTGTTGTTTTGTACTCACGTTTTATAGAGAATTGATTGACTGTGTCATTTACAATTGTTGCTGATTTATGATGGAATTTAGGCCAGAGATTTGGTTTTCTCGCTCATACGGAACTGCAATTTGGTTTTACTATCAGTTGTTGGCTTCTTTTTTTGCCTTTTTGGGTCCACTTGTTAATGCAATAGAAAAGTGTGAGTACATTGTACTACATTTAAATTTGAACTTCGATGAAAATTGTCATAACCTTAACAACTTCACATGATATCGCCATTTAAACAACGTCAAGGGAAAGGATCCTTCTTATGAAGGTAAAAACTGGTTTGTAGAGACTATCATGTTGAAAGTCATAATTTAAGTACTAGGAAAATCGGGTTTATAAGTTAGAGATTCATTCAGGGTTTGGTTCTCTTGATATTTTAGCTTTATGGTTGGAGAAGTGGCTAAATCATGTAGAGAGTCTATTGGTATTGAATCCTGTAATCAGTTGCATTACAAGCATAAGTTTAAATGGGAAATATAACTGTTCTTGGTTCCTAGAATATAAGTTGGTTGGTGGGTGTATAAGGTTGCTGTACAGACTTGAATGGGGAGACGGCAGTGTTTATTCTTGGAGGGTGACAGATCTCTTTGCATCCTGTGTTTATATTTAACTAACTTGTTCAAATTTCGGTGATCGGCATAAGTCATTGCCTCGGATATGAAGCGTTTGTTCTGCTTATATGTGTGTGTACGTTGAGGAAAAGTGTTAAAAAGTTTAAGCATGCATTAGGAAGGAAAGGGTTTGTGTGGAAATTATCGGGGTTTCAGAATATCAATATGCGTGGACAAAGACCCCTGTGTGCTGCAGCCTCCAGTGCAGCACATGGTAATCTAGGGGACTTCAACTTCCATGTAAGAAAGCTCTCATAATAGCATTATTTTGCTGTGAGAGCTACATCTATTTGTTTTCTTATATATATAGTGAATCCATCAGCCATTCTATCTCCAAAAAATTGGAGTGGCAAACTGGGACAACATAATAGTCTGCATGTTAGATCTAAAAATGTAAGTGTTCATCAAAATTGATGTTGGAACCAAAGGCGGATTGATGTATTGGTTAGTTGGGGCTATTGTCTCCGTTTGCTTTTCTAAATTTACGTTCAATTAGTTGAAGTTTTTGAATTTTTTGTTTATACTCCATTATCTTGGCCAAGAAGAAAAGCTATGCACCCTTCAAATATCTCAAATAATATTAGCTAAGTCCATGCCAAATGTTGTCTTTTGAATATGCTCTCACAAATTAATAAAGCATCATGAACTATTTATATTGTGAAATTGCTATTTCTAAAATAATCAAAACTTGCATCATGCTAATTATATCTGACTTTATAAGCATGCAAGCATTATATTAGTTTCTAAACTAATGTTCTTGATTGCTTTATAACTGGCAATCAGGCTTTGCCCATCAAGGAAAAAGAATTTAGATGGGTCCCTAGTTGGAACGCTATGTGTGATTTGCTTGCACATACATGAGACTGTCTATGTCCATTTAACTTTGTATGCTTGTGTTTTGGGCTTTGTTGTCTATTCTGTCATTAGCTTTAGAAACTACTAAATATCATGTAGTGCGTCGAATGTCTGGAGTGAGAGAAGTATCTGTTGATTTTGTTCTCTTATCCTTTGATCATCGAATGGTTATACTTAATATGGGGACTGATTATGTCGAAGATGAGGTTACTATCTGAGAATTGTTTTATCCAATAAGAAATTCCTTTGCACTGTCACTTGGCACTTTTGTACTGCCATTATCCGATCCAATATGTTGTGCTATGTTATGAAGTAACGGCCAACAAACGCTGTTTTAAGTATGGAAATTGACATCCAACTCCAGCAGTTCAATTAACAAGTTTAGTGGCTGTTGGAGTTGGGTTGTTGAATTTCTTAATTTTAACGTTCGCAATGCCGGTGTGTTCTAGCCTCTTCCTTCTTCACCATTTCTTGTTTGTTGACTTTTTACTTGTTATGTCACATTGTATATTCCTTGTAAGTGCTAACAAGTTGGCGATGACTATTTTGATGAAATTGATGCTTCTGTTGTTAGCTGCATGCTAGCGTAATCCAGTTGGAGGTTTTTTTTTGGTCAGAATCCAGTTGGAGGTTGAATCTATTCTTTTCTTCGTTTCTCTTATTGTGATATCCTTGATTTGGAACATATTTCGACAAGAGAAGTGGCTTAAACTGTCAATGCACACTAATAACAGGGTTAGACCATGAGTTGATTCACGAATCGTGCATGGGTCAACTATTCGATTAGGAAGGGCAATTGAAGGTCGGGAAATGCGCTCGACTAGAGTGCTCGACCATGGAAAATAGCTCGACCATAAGGATCGATGCGGGATGACCTTATGACTTCACGGGTCAATCAATGAAAGCTTAGGAATCGATTCGACGGAAGTATATGTAGTCGGATTGCGGGTGATTCCGCACGATTATTATACTAAACCTGAACGATCCTAAGCTAATTTCACAAGATCACGTGCCCTGGGTAAATAAGTCAATTCCGCATGATTACATGGTAACCGAGAATGATCCATGGATTGACGAGATTCAAATATGGATTGATTGGCGAATCAACCATAAGTCATGCTAGCGACACCCAAGAGGCTGCCTAACTCGAATAGGCCGTATTAGGAGCACTTCCCATTGAAGTTTAGCCACGAGCCTTGGTCCGGTTATAGGTTTTCGATTAAGGATAGTTCAGAGACTTTCCTTTCCTATTTAGTCGAGGTAGACCCTCGGGAATAGTTTTGGGCCCCGAAATTTTGGACAAATGAATTATTTGGTCGAGAACGGAAGCCCACAAGTGGGCCGAGATGGGCCTCACGCCCAAGGTCAAAGCCTAATGGGCCCAAGGAAAGCCCATTAACCTTTTCAAGCCCATTTATCTTCAAATTGGGCCCGTTCAAGCCCAAGCCCAAGCCCATGTGAATAGTGCTCGTGAATAGTGCCAAGGGCTGAAATTACCAAATTGCCCCTTCTAGAGGCCATCATTGGCTTGTCTTGCAAGATCAATTGCCCCTTCCGGTTAAGTGGTATCAGAGCAAGGCCAGCTCGATCCAAATTTGGTCGATACCTGGAGTGATAAGGTGCGATGGGTGTTAGGGTAGTGAGTTAGGAAAACCTTCTTTGATCGCAAGTATATGATGTATTATGCTTGTCTTGTGATTGATTGCTTATGAGTGACTACTTACGATTGGATTACATTTTATGTTGTATAAGGTGTTTGTTTGTGATTTGCTGCTTAAGAATTGTAGACTTGAGTAGGAGATTTAGGTCTCTAATTGCTTGATGGAATTGTAAACGGGTTTCGTTAGAATCCGGTAAGATGAGCTCCCGAGGAAGAGGAACTCGAGGCCAGTCTAGTTCGCAAGCGAGAGCACAAGAGACCCTCGAGTGGATGGGATCTTACAAGCTCTCGAAGCGATTGTGAATTTGATGGGTCAGCAGGTTCTAGAACGAGCTGCTACTGCTGCAGAGGCTGCTGCCAATGCTACTGCTGCTGCCGTTGCCCCTAATGACAACCCTAGGCATGGAAATGGGAATGGAGAACGGCAGATGCACTAGCTGGTAGAACAATTTCTGAAGCTGAAGCCGTCTAAATTTACTGGGATGGGTGATCCCGAGGCTGCAATCCTCTGGATCAAGGAGTTGGAGAAAGTATTTGCACTTTTGCGATGCTCGGAGGAAGACAAAGTTACCTTAGCGGTTTACCAGCTGCAAGGTAATGCTAATAATTGGTGGGAAGCCACCCAAGGAAGGGTCTTCCCAGAAGGCACAGTTTCGACTTGGAATGCTTTTGTCGAAGCTTTCAACAGAAAATACTTCTCGGACTATGCGTGGGAGCAAAAGATGGCTGAATTCTAGCGACTTCGTCAGAATCACCTGTCTGTAGATCAGTACGAAGCGAAGTTCGTTGAGCTGTCGAGGTATGCACCGAGATTAGTAGAGGAACCAGTGGAAAGGGCTAGAAGGTTCAGAGATGGTCTGAAGCTCGAGATTAAAAGTCAGTTGGTGCCCCTGAACTTGAAGGACTATAATGAGCTGTATGAAAGGGCACAGCTGATTGAAAGGGACATGGCTGAATGGGCTGCCACATCTGGATCGCGGTATGCCCCAAGTCGAGATAACCATCGGTTCAGGAAAGAGCCGATGACGGGAGGAAAATACCACATCCGTCCCAACAAGAAGAATGGCATTGGAAAGCCGGCATACAACCCAAGTAACGTGTGCCGATTCTGTGGAAGGAGGCATGGGAATAGCCTTGCCCAGGTTGGACTAAAGCTTGCTATGGATGTGGCCAGCACGATCATCAAGTGAGAGATTGCCCGAACTGACCGGCTAGATCATAAATGCAACCGTAACAACCACGAGTGGGACCGCAGGCTGGGAACGCTTCGCCGAATAATTTGAATCGACCTCAGGCATAGGAAAGGTTGTAGGCTGTGGCTTGGAAGGAATAGGAGGGTTTATCTTTATAGTCTTAATGCGTTGCGTGACGATATTTAGTGTAATAGGAATTGATTTTTGAAGTTATAAGCTTGAATGGTCATGTAAGACATATAATTACTTATGGTAAAATAGGCGTGATCAGTTTGTGAACTTCTTAATTATAGATAATGTTCTGTGGTGGTATTTGGTGGATGAGTTATTGTTTGAAAATTTCGAATTTTGTAAAGAATTAGGGTGACTTGTTTTGGGAGACTGTTGAGATTGAAATTTGTTGGATTGAATGTTGTCTTTGAGGTATCGAAAGTTAATTATCTTATTGTGCTCGATGGACGAATTTTGGAAATAGGGCTATCGATACCTTGTTCTCGAGGTGTTAGTAAAGGCATGAAAGGTATTTGAGGATTTTTGTGCAATGATTAAGAGAGGCACGAATTTCCAAGTGGTTGAGGTGATATTCTTAAGTTACGATTATAATTGAAGTGAGTGGAATCGATGGCTTGTGGAAATTTAGAGTTGATGAGATGCATTGGATCGTATTTCAAGTGTTGATGGGTGATCTCGAGGAAGCGACCTCATGGATTGACAAGTTGGAGAAAGCTTTTGCGTTTCTGAGGTGTTCAGACGTGGATGATTCCTCTGTAAATGAATCCACATCAGAATGAAACTATCTCCAGTAGGTGTGTAGGTTTGTGGACGAACCAGGTGTAAGCTGATGGACCTGTAACGACCCGGTCCGATGAGGGTGGGGAGTGGTCGCCAGGGCTAGAGGGCTTGAGCAAGGAGCAACTCTTGGCAAGCTTCTAGAATGGCGAAGGTGGCAGGAATGAATCGAACTATGCACTCGACAGGAGGAGAACAATTATGGGATGATTTTTATCAGAGTGGTGTAGCAAAATCATGGTAAAACTTGTAGAGTTCCAATTTGTCGGAATAAGGTTGGAGAAAAAAAATGGAGCGCTGGTCCAGGGTTTGTCTGGTAGTTAATGGATGCGGTTAAGAGAGACTTGGAACTGCCCTGAGCTGTCAGAAAAGTTTCGTCGACAAGCAGCAGTGATCTTTGGGATTCCGATTAGGTGGACACGTTTTCCTCAAATGTCACCTATGAGAGGTTGGTTGCGTTTCGGTTAAGCAGGAAGGCTTAACTCGAGGTACGTTGCACCTTTTGAGTTCTCGGAGCAAGCAGAGAATTTTGGCCTGTAGGTTGGCATTTCTGCTTTGCCTTGCTCGAGTTCGTTGTGTGTCTCACGTCTCATGTGTTGAGAAGGGTGAGCCGATCCGACACGCGTGCTGAACTTCGATGGGGATCGAAGTGGACTACAGAATGTCATGTGTTGAGAAGCCGGTGCGGATCGTGGATCGAAAAGAGCAAGTGCTGCGGAACGAGGTCATTCTCTTGGTTAAGGTGATCTAGAGGCATCGTGGAACAGAAGAAGTAGCCTAGAAAAGTGAGGAATCAACGGGGCTCCGCTAACCCCAGTTGTTCGAGAAACCAGATGAGTATTCGAATTTCGAGGATGAAATTCTTTTAAGGAGGGAAGAGTTGTGACATCCTCGATTCGGACCCTATTTCGGCAAGAGAAGTGGCTTAAACTGTCAATGCACACTAATAGCAGGGTTAGACCATGAGTCGATTCATGAATCGTGCATGGTTCAACTATTCGATTAGGAAGGGCAATTGAGGGTCGGGAAATGCGCTCAACTAGAGTATTCGACCATGGAAAATAGCTCGACCACGAGGATCAATGCGGGACGACCTTATGACGTCACGGGTCAATCAGTGAAAGGTTAGGAATCGATTCGATGGAAGTATATATAGTCAGATTGCGGGTGATTCTGCACTATTATTATACTAAACCTGAACGATCTTAAGCTAATTTCACAAAATCACGTGCCCCTGGTAAATAAGTCAATTCCGCACGATTACATGACAACTGAGAATGATCCATGGATTGACGAGACTCGAATATGGATTGATTGGCGAATCAACCACAAGTCTCGCTAGCGACACCCAAGAGGCCGCCTAACTCGAATAGGCCGTATTAGGAGCGCTTCCCATTGAAGTTTAGCCACGAGCCTTGGTCCGATTATAGGTTTTCGATTAAGGATAGTTCAGAGATTTTCCTTTCCGGTTTAGTCGAGATAGACCCTTGTGAATAGTTTTGGGTCCCGAAACTTTAGACAAAAGAATTATATTCTTGTTGTATTATGATTGCACTTGATGGTTTATAACGTGAAAGGCGCGTGTGCCAAGGCAAGGTAATAATGCCTGCAATTGTTTCATGGCACGTTTGTTTATGCTGGGCTGGGTAGCCTGCTTGTATGTATAGTTAGGGCAAAGCAGGGCTTACTTTACTATTGATCTACCGTCGATGTGTGGCTGCGTGTTTAGGTGTGTCCGAGGCGAGTTGACTTCCTAATCGAGGTTTAGGTCGTTAACTTACTGAGATTTATCTCACTCGTTGTTAACCATTTTTCAAGTGCTCAGGTATGAGTACTCGTTGCGTTCTATGGGAACTGGCTGTGTTGAGGGTGAATACCTTTTGAGGTTGTCCTTGTAGATAGAGAAGTTAGGTTAAACCCCTTATCTTTTGTTGTTGTAATCGGGAAGGTCTGCGTGGCGGGCTTGTAATATATTAATTCCCGATGTACTGCTGTTAATGTACGTATATATATTTATTGTATGTTTTTCTGTCTATCCCTGTTGTTGTTATCTGGAGATGTGCTTCAGCATGTGCATAACTGAAAGATAAAATGAATGGGTTGGTGACGCGTTCTGGGACATAACAATTCCACGACCAAGAAAGGATGTTCGTGCGCTCGAGGGTCGGGGGCGTGACAGTTATTCTCCTTCATTAGGAGGACTTTTTGGCGGGATTAGAGTATGCTGGGGAATCAATCCTTCCTTGAACATAACCGATTGAGTTATTCCTATAAATGTGAAAACCATAGTTTGACCCCTAATTTGGACGTGTTACACAGAAAATTAACTTAACAAACATTAATCGCCCTGTCATGTATTGGCTCTTCCATTGCACTAGAAAATTCAAAGGCTCAAAGTCATTCCTCTCATTGTAGGATGCTGAAGCGTCAGCAAGGAAAGCTGAAGCTGCGAGAAAACGTTCTGAGGATATAGCTGCAGGTACCGTGCAAATGAACGGGCGCGAGCTTTTTCTGCACGAACCGTGGGTATTCGATAACACAAACTACTGAAGTTGGTTAAATTTAACAGTGTGTGAGATAGTGACTCCTGTGTACACTATTCATACTTTCTATTGAAAGAATGGAATGCTGCAAGAAATATAAGTTCTTCATTGATGCATCTTGTTTTCCTTGAAAGTTGACATTCTTACTTCTTGTAGACAGTGACTCGTCTTGTATGCAATCTGCAAATTTTTGTTACGCTATAATTACGTGTGATGGTAGTGTGTAAAGTTCATTGTTAGTTGCCAACTTGGACTTGTCTAGATAGACTTGTTAATTTTTCCTTAATTTAAATCTAGCTACGGACAAATTTTAATTTTTTTCTTAGCCCAACCCTTGAAATTTTCACAATATACATAAGTTGACATGCAGATTTACATGTGAATTTTTCTTTTTTACAAATTCGAATAATTGCAAAAAAGTTACTTTTTTGTATTTTAAAATCCCAGCCCCTGAATCGGTGGATGTTATGGTCCACGACATGAGTCCCACAAAGCACCGTTGCCTCCGATGACTTCTCTTCTACTAGTAGAATTCTGTATTATGATGAATCTTAAAAATGTATCGGGAAATTTGCATGCTCGATTAATCAATCATTTCGCATATGAATTTTCATTGTTTCTAACAATTTAGAGAACAATTTAGAGAGAGAGAGAGAGAGAGAGAGAGAGAGAGAGAGAGAGAGAGAGAGAGAGAGAGAGAGAGAGAGTTTTGTAATAGAGTTGCTTATAGATCTACTGACGACTCTTGAAAAGAGAAGACCACCACACAGAAACATGACTTAAGACACTAGGAAGACCTCACGCTTGGACACAAGCCATAGCAAAAGCCAGCTGCCACTTGCATGCACATATGTAATGTGCTATCACAATACATAAACATCACCAAATACAAATTGACACGAGATTCGATCATACTTTTACTAACTCACAAATACAAATTACTAACACAAACAACTCTGACTCAATGATGGACTCAATCTGGCCTCCTCTCTTCTCCCACCGATCCGCACTCAAGCACCACTTTTACGCTTCCAACTGTTCCAAAAAGCGAGACATTATAATCTTGTTTACAGGCACCATATATGCGCTTTAATAATGCCATGATAAATATGATCAAAATACATGATAAATATTCAGATAGTTTTTTTTATTTAAGCAGTACAAAAAGAAAAGGACCTTGGGTCGTTTCGCATAGCCTGCAGGTTGCGCCTCATTCTCTCAATCTCCTTTTGAAAATTCTGCAATCAAAACATAAAGCAATCAAAATTTCAAATAAGATTTTGCATGATGTTGATTTTTCTTCCCGCATTTGGAAATGCCAATACAGCCAGTCGTTTACCTCAAACCTGATGTTTAATGCGGTCCCATTTTTGTGCGAATGGCGTCACATGCACAAAAGGGAAAAAAGATAAGCCAACATCAGATCCTAGAGAGATGCACTCATACCATATATCATATATGTTCACTTAATATGGAAAGAGTGATAGGATGTTAATAAAATTATCTGTGAAGAGACAATTACCATTCAAGCGTTGAAATTAATGCCTTCTGAATGTATATCCTTGTGATCTTGTCTTGCTCATCCTGCGCGACAGATATAGATCATTAAAACCAAACTTTTACAAAAAAAAAAAATCAGATTACTTATATCTTCTCATTTGCCACACCACCTCTTCCATATCGTCGAACTCAGCATCATCTCTGCATGTCAAGCAAGAAAGAGTCAAACAGCATTAATGATGGTCATTACACAACGAAGCTAAGATTTTTTTTGCCCAAAATAATGAAGCCAAGATTAAAGGCTCCATCTCTAATGTCTCTACCTTAGGTTTTTAGGGATGTAAAACCTTTAATGGGATACTCTTGTCCTCTCCCAGGAGGAAAAACATTTGGGGAGGGACAGGGGGTGTAAGGCTTGATCGGCCGTCGGGTCGTTAAACAAGGCGTTGTAGCCTTTAGAGGTGGAAACACTCATCCTTGGTGAGATAAACCTTACCGAACACTAAGGATCCAAAGATGCCCCATAGCCATAACCTTTTCTATAAGCCACCTTTCTCCTCTCAAGGTAATTACTACCTCAATTTTTTTTTCGATGTTGTTCTTTTGGCTTTTACCTCTTTGGTTTTTGATCTGCACTCGGACCTTCAACATCAACACTGAGGACTAAAAAGGGCTTCAACTATTATCCTAGAGAAACTTTTTGGCCGACTCGATTAAATCCAATTTTGAAAAGGTCAAGATCGACACGAAATAGGGTTAATCCGAAGAAAATAGTGTCAGATCTCAAGAAATAGTTCGAGGTGCACACGGAACAAGAACCTGTCATTGAAGATAGGTTGTGGGGCACTAGATGAGCTAGCAACGAAAGGGTTGACAAGAGATGCATCGGTGTCCTGAGGAACGGGGGTTCGGAAATCCCTGCATCTCCTTGTGCGGTGTTTTCTAAGCCTTGCAGCAGCTAGTATCATCTTCTGCTTCCCCGAGACCTTATCCCTAGCCATAGATGGTTCCAACACTATAGACTCAAGCAGGAGAGTAAAAGTGAGGAGGAGGGCCTTTTGCCCGGTGAAGTGAGATCGAGGGGACAAAATGGTTGGGTACTTATAGCAAAGGAGTGAGCTTTGGTTGCGTTTACATGTGGAGTGCGCAACTTCTATAAATTGCATTTTTGCCTCTATGCAATTCCTCGTATGATCAAAAGCATGGATTAGATTGTCTCATGGAGTAAGGGTAGGATGGGAATAACACAAATGTAAAATAAAAAGCAAGAAAAATTTCAGTAACCTCTTCTCAAAAGCATATAACAATTCCTATGTCTGAATTCTCCCTATTTTTTCTGTACCCACTTAAATTAAAATATTAGTGAGTATCATTATATACAGCTAGCTGACAGAAGACAAATAGTGTTGGCACTAAACTAAAAGAAACCTCATGGACTTATGGTTATCAAATCTAAATTGATGTTTGAGTAGAATTGACCTGATCGGCTATTTCATTTTATTTTTAGATCCAGATGCCTCTACATGTAATAATTCCCTTTAAGGAAATAGTCTTGCTTTTACTTTTGTATTTATTTTAGATGAGTTACCCATGATTTGCAAACCCCATATGCTCAGGTGGCGGCGGTATATCGATCTCGATAGTTTACTTCCATGATTTCCAAAATTGAAGCCGAAAAAACACTTTCGACATTCTTAACATGGTAAGTGTAAAGAATGGAAATTCATGCGTTGTGAGAAGTTCCAGAAGATAGGCGCATGGAGAGTAATGTCTGGTATTATTGCAATCATATACGGTTATTTTGATCGGTTGATGAACGCAAGATGACGTACATGCATTACGCAATTTTTCACCTTATATGTACTTTTAATTCTTATTGCTAAGTATATAGTCACGAAAAGTTTAAGCATGCATCGAATAAGAGAAATTCTTTGTTACAAGCTTCTCTTTCAATTTTCTTAAATGACTAGCTGGAGGTCACGTCCAAAGGCACAATATTATTTAATTTTTTTACGTATATATGTATTTATTTTCTAGGCAGAATATATGTATATATATATATATATATATATGTGACTCACATTTTTTGTATTTTGGAGTATATAATAGTACAAATACCAAGTATAAATAAAAATTGCCCAAAGATACATTTTGAAGGTTGTCTTCAGCCTAAAGATTGTTAGGACTAAATTACCCTTGACAAGAACTTCAATTTAGTCAAATTCCAGAAAAGGCCCTGCCAAAAGAAGGAACTTCAAAATATTTACTCCCGAGTCCCTCGAATATCCTTTATTGACAAAAAAGCACGACCGTTATATTTTTTGCATGCAAATAAGGACAAATATCTGGCTTGAAAAGTGGAAAACAACTCCCTCCCTCCCACCCTTTTTCGGGTCTTCTTAATAAGCTTCATTGGCTGTTTTCCCAAATGTTTAACTAGGTGTCCATGTTCCTGCCTGAATGGTGTCCAAGTAGCAGGCGAAAATAAATGAAAGAGTAACCGCAAAAGTGGAGTCAAATCATAAAATGAAAATAATGTTTCTGCCCATAGGAGTGACTCAAGGCAACCCATGGATTTAGTCATGGCCACGGGCCGGTTTCGGCCCGGAACCGGACCGGAACCGGCCCGGTCAAACCCGGGCCCGGCCCGTTGACCGGGCCCGCGGTTTGGAACCGGAACCGGCCCGGTCAAACCCGGGCCCGGCCCATTGACCGGGCCCCGCGGTTTGGAACCGGAACCGGCCCGTGCCCTACGGGCCTGGTTCCGGTTCCAGAAATTTTTGAACCGGCCCGGAACCGCCGGTTCCGGGCTCAGTTAAAAAAAAAAAAAAGCTGCAGATCTGGCGAGGGTTCGACCTCGCCGGCGTCGGCCGAGGCCGGCCTCACCAAAAAAGAAAAAAAAAAGAAAAGGAAAAGAAAAAGAAAAAAAAAAAAGAAAAATTATGAACCGGTCTGGAACCGGTTCCGAACCGACCGGTTTCGAACCTGAACAGGAACCGCCAGTTCCGAACCGGAACCGGTCGATTCCGAACCGTGGCCATGACTACATGGATTGGATTTTTTAATAAATGAGGGACTGTGATGAAATTTAGGCTCCTACATACGTTTTTTCAGATAAATATAATTTTTCCTATTCCTATAGCCAGTTTTTTTTTTGGTTGGATTTCATACAGCCAGTTGGCCCATTCATTCCTTGTACATTGAACCTGTAAATGAAATCCAATCCAACTGGGTTTCCTAATTTGAGTGGTTTCCTAGTTTGAGTAAATTTCCTATAAAGAGCTTCCTATTTTGGATATATGTAAAATACGGAATTCTACTTGGTTATTACACACTAGAACAAACAAAAGGAGTGTGAGAATTTTTTCTATGCTAGTTTTTTGAGTGACATTTATGTGAGAGATTATGATATAACACTCAAGGGTTTTGCTTTGATTTAAAGTTGGGAAACACACAAAGAATTGTAAACTCTACATCCTACATATTCATATTGGATTTTTTGGTGGTCGGCTCTTCTTTCGGAGTGGTTCGCGACACTTAGAGTGAACCTGGAAATCTTTGGTGTTCTATATTTATACTATATGCATGTGTATAAGGAAAATTGTCCAAAAAATCCTAAATTTTGTACGCCGGCCTATTCAGTTCTAAACTTTTTAATTTGGCCAATTTAGTTCTAAATTTTTTGATAATTTGCCAATGTAGTC